GTGTTTAGGGTTTTCTATATATAATAGCATGTAATCTGAACATAGTGACAGTTTTACTTCTCCCTTTCCATTTCAGGTGACTTTTATTTATTTTTTTTGCCTAGCTGACCTGACTAGGAGTTCCAGTATTATGTAGAAAAGTGGTGTGACGGGGCATCCATGTGTTGTTCCTGATTTTAGAGGGAAAACTGTCAGCTTTTCATTGTCAAATATGATGTTATATGTGGGTTTGTCATACATGTCCTTTATTATGTAGAGTTTTTTTCCCCCTATACCCACTTTGTTGGGAGTTTTATCATAAATGGATGTTGGATTTTGTCAAATGCTTTTTTCTGCCTCTGTTGAGATGATCATAAGATTTTTATCATTTATTTTGTTAATATGGCATATCACATTGATTAATTGCAGATCTTAAACTATCCTTGCATCCCTAGAATAAATCTCACTTGATCATGGGATATGGTGCTCTTAATGTGTTGTTATATTCAATTTGCTAGTATTTTATTGAGAATTTTTGCATGTCGATAGGGATATGGGCCTATAATTTTCTTTTCTTGTGGTATCCTTGCCTGGATTGGATATCAGGGTAATGCTGGCCTTATAAAATGAATTTGTGTCTCTTCCTCTTCTATTTTTTTTTTTTGAACAGTTTGAGAAGATTGGTATTCTTTAAATGTTTGGTAGAATTCACTGGTCCTAGCATTTTGTTTGTTGGGAGTTTTTGTTTACTGATTCAATGTCCCTAGTAGAAATTGGTTTGTTTAGATCTATTTTTTCATAATTCAGTCTCAGTAGATTGTGCATTTCTAGGAACTTACCTATTTTTCATAAGTTGTCTACTTATTCATAGTTGTCTCTTGTGATCGTTTATAGTTCTACAGTATCAGTTGTAACATCTTATCTTTCACTTCTGATTTTATTTATTTATTATGCAATGCCTTTCTCTTTGCCTCTTATTACAGTCTTTGGTTTAAAGTCTATTTTGTTTGAAGTAAGTCTAAAAATTCTAGCTTTCATTTGATTCCATTTCCATGGAATATCTTTTTCCATCCCTTCACTTTCAGCCTGTGTGTGTCCTTATATCTGAAGTGAGTGTCTTATAAATAGCCTATAGATAGGTCTTATTTTATTGTTTAACCCATTCAGCCATTCTATGTCTTTTTTATTAGAGAATTTAGTCTATTTACATTTAAAGTAACTATTGATAGGTATGTATTTGCCATTTTGCTAATTGCTTTCTGGATGTTTTGTACTTTTATCTATTCCTTTCTTCTCTTTCTTTGTGATTTGATGACTTCTGTAGTGGCATGCTTAGTTTTCTTTATCTTTTGTGTATTTACTATGGTTTTTGCTTACCATGAAGCTTACATGTAGCAATTTATATTTATAACAATATAATTTGATAACAACTTAAGTTCAAATGAATTCTAAAGCTCTACATTTTTTACTCTCTCCCCTGTACGTATGATTTTTAGGTTTGATGTCATATTTTATGTCTTTTTATCTTGTGTATCCCTTAACTAATTATTATAACTATAGTTACTTTTACTACGTCTTTTAACCTTCATACTACCTTTGTAAATAATTAATCCATAACCTTTACAACACTAGATTATTTTGAATTTCACTATATATCTTTATGGGTAAGAGTTATACTTTCATGTATTTTTTCTGTCACTAATTAGCGCCCTCTCATTTCAGCTTAAAGAAGCTCCTTTAGCATTTCTTGTTAAGGCCAATTTGGTGATGATAATCTCCTCTAGCTGTTGCTTGTCTGGAAAACTTTCTGTCTCCTTCAATTCTGAATGACAGCTTTGCCAGGTAGAGTATTATTGGATGTTTTTATTCTTTCAGCACTTTAAATATATCATGTCACTCCCTTCTGGCCTGTGAAATTTCTGCTGAAAATCTGCTGATGGTTTTATGGAGGTTCCTTTGTACATAACAAGTTATTTTTCTCTTGCTGCTTTTAAGATTCTCTCCTTTAACTTTTGACATTTTGATTATAACATGCCTTGCTGCAGGTCTCTGGTTCATCATCTTTGGAACTCTCTGGGCTTCCTAGATCTAGGAATGTCTATTTTAGCCATTACTGCTCACATAAGTTTTCTGCCCATTTCTCTCTCTTTTCTCCGTATAAGGCCCCTTATAATGAGAGTGTTGGCCTGCTTGGTATTGTCCCATAAGTCCCTTAAACTATCTTTGCTTGTTTTCATTCTTTGTTCTTTTTGCTGCTCTGATCATGTCAGTGCCACTGCTCTGTCTTTGATTTGATTGATCTTTTCTTCTGCTTCATCTAGTCTGCTATTGAATCCTTGCAATGTATATTTCAGTTCAGTTATTGTATTCTTCTGCTCTCTGACTTTGTGTGTGTGTGTGTATCTATTTTAAAAATTTTTTTTCAGTTAGAGCTGACAGCTCTGTGACTTCTATTTGGTACACTTCTGTATATTTTTTGTCTCTTTGTTGAAGTTCTCACTGTGTTCATCCATCTTTTCCCTGAGTTTGATGAGCATCTTTATGACCATTCTTTTGAACTTTTATCAAGTAAAGTACTTATCTCTGTTTAATTAAGCACTTTTTTTCGAGGGTTTTATCTTTTCCTTTCATTTGGAACATATTCCTTTGTTTCTTCATTTTCTTTGACTCTGTGTTGGCTTCTATACATTAGATAAAACAGCCATTTCTCCCAGTCTTGAAGACTCGTGAAGGAGCTGAACCCTATTGTTTACCCTACCCTAGCTCTTGGTTGTTGCTCAAACCTTTGTGATTGTCCAAGCAGCCTATTTTATTCTTAGTGGCTCTCAGTAGTGAAGGGCATGCTGAGACCTGTCAGGGTCCCTAAGGGGAGGGTCTCAGTGCACCTAGATCAGGCTGACTGGAAGCCAGACTCTCAGGTACCAACTCTTAAAGTATACAAATATATACAGTCCTGTGGGACTGCAAGTGTGAGTCCCACTTGGCCACCAGAGCCAAATGATCTAGAGGTGTCCCCCCAAAAAAGTCACTAAAGTCAGGCACCAGACAAGTATACAAGCTCCTTTCCAGGAGATGCTGGTGACCTGGAGTGAAGCATCGGGTGAGAGCAGAGGTGGTATCCACTGCCCTCCGTCCCTGGCATCCCAACTTCAGTCGGCCCCTAGAGATACACCAAACCAGATGCCAGGACGAAGCTCAAGGACAAGAAAACAGGTGTCTCTTACAGAAAGACTGGGAGTGTGTTTCCATCTGCTGTCTTTGCAGAGCCCTACGGTGGCTGCTAGGCCAGAACTGTCTAACTGGTACCGTCCCCTGGGACCCAGGAACTCTGGCCCCACTGGCCACCGGAGCTGGGTGATCAACGGGTGTCCCATGGCTGGCAGCCATCAAACCCAGGGCACCAGACGCTCATGCAGGTCCCTCTTGGGGAGATAGTGGTGCTCTGGAATGCAGCAGCAGAAGAGGGCAAAGACAGTGTCCACCCTCTGAGTTCTCGGGAAGGGATTACAGTCAGCCTGGACATGTGTTTAACGGGAAGCCTGCCCCTCAGGTCGCAGCTGTGAATAGAAGCAAATTGGCCTCTTTCACATAAAGACTGGGCTCCCTGGCCTGTTGCTTTTTGCTGTGCCTTGAGGGGGAGGGAGGGGCAGTTAAGACTCTTTCTCCATGGATAATACTGGAAGTGACTGTGCTGCCTGGTCTGTACTTTCATGACAACTCCATCTGGAGTAGTGTTTTTGAGGAGGTAACTTATGAGCTGAGTTGTTCAACCAGCATTAAGTATTAACTGTGCCGGTGATGTGTTCAACATGGCTAAAGAATAGAAAATTAAATATAGAGTGTGTTTATCATCTCTCTGAGGATTTACGATTTTGAATTAATAGTTTGAGTAGGACTGACACAGGTAGTCAGTAATGTAGCAAGGCTGACCAGTTTGCCTACCTGTTACAATATCAAGTCATTCCATGACAGTGAGGTATAGCATCTACCTCGCACACCCCTCTATTTGTCTCTACCCTGTCCCTCCTCATTTCAACTCCCAGCCCCCACACCTGTGGTGCCCAGACTTTCCTATGTTCCAGCAATGAGAGGCTCAATACCTTGTGCACTCAATATTTTACACACAATCCCAGGGAAAAAAATCACAAGCCTTGAAATAGCAGGATGTGGAAAACTGTAGTTAAAGGCCAGAGCATGAAGTTCAAGCTGGGAGAGACAGGGAAATGGAATTGAAGAACTGATAAGAGTCATGAAGAGCCATCAAAAGATTTTAAGCATATAATCTTCTAAAACAATAATTTTGACCTACCTGTGTACATAAGTACTTGCTGATGGTTGCTGAGCAAGCTATTATGATGCTAATGAATTATTATTAGTGGCATATGCTCTTAATATGCATATTCTTTGCTGTTGCTCCTTCTGTCCCTTCCTTCTAAGGATGTGTTTGCATCCACATTTGAAAATGGCTGCTCCTTGTTTGGAATGCTATCTGCCGAAGAAACAGAGGAAAGTGAGACCAGGCACATAGAGGACATTGATCCAGGACAGTTTCCATCAGCACAAGCCTCTGGCCAATGGGAGGGAAAAAGAAGGACAGCTTCATGAATATAGACTTGCTGGCACTTCACCTCTGTACCTATACAATTCGAGAATCTGTTATGCTAATGTTACCCCACTTTGCAGCTGGTGAATTCAGTATTACAATTTCAGTATAACACTGAAAAATCATTGGGGGAGAAAAATCAAACTTGGTTTATCCACAGTGATTTTTTTTCCATTTCATTTAGACATTTTACCAAATAGTGACCAAATATTAATAATTGGGTTTACCTTATCAATGTGAATAGGTATGAGATCAGAGTTTTTGTTTTTTATTAAAAGGGCTGATGAGAAAAAGCTGAATGTATGGAAGTATTCATAGAATTGGTTTGCCATGACTTTAATTCCTTACTTCCAAAAGAGATAAGATAGTCCTTATAAATGGATGTACAGGTTAAATGACAAACACCCCAAACAAACAGTACCTGAGCAAATCAGTTTTATTTCAGCATCACAGTTTACTGTTCTTCCTAACTGGCAGTCACTACATTGTAGATACTGTCAATTACAATATAATTCCTGTCAGTATGTGTGTAATATGGTTTTCACAGTTCCATCTTAAGAGTAAATGACTTTATTCAAGCAATTACTTTCATCAAATGTTAATTTTCATATCCCTTCAGCTGCAGGCACCAAAATCAAAACCCAACAATCAACAGAGTAAACATAACAAAATCACACATTTAGTCCCTATAAGACATATGGGAATAAGATTTTCATATTCCGAAAGATTGGCTTTTTTTTTGGTATTAATCAACAGGATATTACAGTTTACCACAAATCAAGGTGCCATTTAATATTTGAAAACTCTTTCTGTAAAGATACAAATCATCCTAATGCGAGAGGGACGGTCCTTGCTCAGCATCGTCTTGGCTCTGCCCTTTGGGGGCTCCTCTTCCCCCCTCGCCTGTGAGCGGTGCTGAGGGCAGCTCCGGGGTGCAGTCACGACTCCTCACTCTGAACTGGCAAGCGCTCCGGAGGAAGAACAGATTCCAGCTTCCGCCAGCGCTCTGGAGGCCACAGGATGTGCGTGGCATGGGCGTGCAGAAGTCCCAGGGACACCTGGACCCACGGGAGACACAGAGAAAGACAAGGAGAAATTATTTTATGAGGACCATCGTTAGTGCTTTGAAAACAGCATCTGATCCAGGACTGATAGTCTATGGAAAGATGATAACAAGTAAAAGTGGGGCATGTGTATGTGGCCCTTCTCTAGGTGCTTTGTATATGTGCCTGCAAAAGCCATTACTCCTCAGGACCATCTGAGGTAGGTGCTGATCTCATCTTCATTTTGCATACGAAAAAACTAAGTTCAGGGAGATTAAAGGTCTTGCCAACAGTCTTACAGCTGCCAGGCGGTGGGAACTGGCTTTAAGGATGAGCAGCTCAGCTCGAGTCTGCAACCTTAACCACCATCCTCAACAGCCTGCTTGCACAGATGCAGGAAGCATAAAATAAAACTAGTTTGTATTCCCAGAGTCGTCTACAGAGTTCCGGATATCTCACAGAGACTTTCCTTTTTGGAAAGGTCAGACAGACATGGAAAAAAAAATGTATTTTGCAGAAAACATTGTCCCTACAGCATTAGATGTGAGATTGTGTGGGGTGCCTCCATGGAAAGAAGGCTGAGCAACGTGTAAGCAGTGCTCACGGAGAGATGGAAATCCAAGGCAAAGCCAGCAAGGTGGGCGGGGTTACGTGGAATCAAGTGGAAAGATCATAGCAGATGGTAAAGGACCCCCCCTCAGCAGAGATGCACCAGGATAGAAGAGGAGGCGAGGGGAGGGGCCTGTTCCTGGAGGACATAAGGCTGAACCCTGAGGCAAAAGGACATAAGGCTGAGCCCTGAGGCGAAAGGAGCAGCTAAAGACATCTTAGGGCTCGCTAGGAACAGCTGCAGTGTACAGACGAGTGTGACAAACCTACCTCAAAGGCAGACCAAGGACCTGTCCTCACAGGTGACCCTTCAGCAGGTTGGAGGCAGGGCCTGAAACTCTGTCTTTTGCTGTTGGTGGTCCTGCTATTGCTCTCAGATATTTCGAAGCTTACAAAACACACTCATGTTTAAGCGCATGTCTATTGAGTGTCAGCAATAAAGCAGGTACTACATGTCCATCTTTTGTTTTCAAATGGTTTTCCTATAAATTTCAACTCTGTAGAGGTGAGCAAACGATACTGCTTTCACTGAAGTGCTTTTAGTTACTAGCAGGTGCATTTGAAAATGCACATTGCCCAGGACGCAAAGGAAAAGCTGTCAGGAGAGACTCCACAAACATAACCAGAAACACACAGAAAAAGAAAAAGCCTTCCCAGCAACTTGAAATACAAACCAAATAAACCCAAAGGGTACCAAGAAGCCCATGGGCCCCATAAAGAGATTTTTCTTCAACTTGTTATTTTGAAAATCAAACCTATAGCCAACTTGAAAATGTGGTACAGAACACAGCTCTATTCACGAAAATCCACCACTTACATTTTTCTGCATTTATTCCTCTCATTATGTCATTATATGTACTATATACACATACTTTTTTCTGAACCATTTGAAAGTTGACTTCATGCTGGATTGCTGAGTTTGCCCCCTAAATAAATACTACAACATGTGTCTCCTAAGGAATACGATATATAATATAAAAGAGACTTAATACTAGCACAATAATAAATATAAGCCCATATTCAAATTTTTCCTCTTGTCCCAATAATATCTTTTATAGCTATTTTATTTTTGAAGTTCTTAATCAAGGATCACAAATTGTATCATAATTGCCATTATCTTGCTTCAGTTTACATTTAGCTTATTTTAATCTGGAGTCCAGGCCAACTGCCTCGAAAAATGTCCTACATCTATAATTGCCTGATCTTTTCCTGAATGGATTCAAGTTAAATGTTCTTGGCAAAAATACTATATAGTTGATAACATATTCTTCCCATTCCAGCACATCAGGAAGCATAAAACATCAGTTTGTCCCATTGTTGTGATATGAAGTTTGATGAAATTCATATTATCCATATTTCTCCACTGTAAACAAATCATTTTCCTTTTGTAATTAGTAAGTAATCTGTGCGATATTTTTTTTTTCAACTACAGTTCACATACAATATTATTATGTATTAGTTTCAGGTGTACAACATAGTGATTAGGCATTTGTATAACTTACAAAGTGATCACCCTGATCATTCTTACCCATCTACATATACATAGCTATTAATGTTAACTATATTCCCTATGCTGTATTTACATCCCCATGACTGCTTTTTATAACAGGCGATTTGTATTTCTCAATCCCTTCACCTTTTTCACCGCTCCACTTTGAGTGACCATCTCCATGTTGTCACAAATGGTAAGATTTCATTCTTTCTTATGGCTGAGTAATATCCCATTATATATTATGTTGAGGTATGTTCCCTCTATCCCCACTTTGCTGAGAGTTTTTACTGTAAATGAATGTTGGATTTTGTTAAGTGATATTATTGCATCTATTGATATGATCATATGATTTTTATCCTTCCTTCTCTTTACATGGTATATCCTGTTAATTGATTTACAGATATCGAGCCAAACTTACATCGTGGTGCTAAACCTGTGGGATTATATTTTGAAATATGTAAATGTCCTGTATGTCAACATTTCGTCTAATCCTCTCACTTCTGCTCTCTGAAGGAGGTTGTTCCCTAAACCATCTAGTACTTTTAACCTCTATTGATGATCCTGCCTTATTACATCAAGGATTACAAAAGAGTGATTTTCCACATTTTTATTTCTTTTATATTTATTGACTTTAATCTCTAAAAAGTTGCTTTCCCTCCCAACCCCAAATGCCTCTATTTTAACATCAAACATTCTTTTTTTCATTCAAAATCAGTTACTATTTTTGGTTTGTTTGATGCTCAAATGTCCCATATTGGGCCAGTGGGCATTCTATATTATCTTAGGACATATTCCCGTTTTGTCTTGGAGCACTTGAACATGACTGCTGAAGATAAGGGGATACTGGGACGTGACACAGGCCAGCCGAAGGTAAGGGTTCTTCCTATGTCAGCACACCCCAGATCTCTGTCTGCAGGATCTGGTAGTAGGAAGCGGTGAGAATTTCTCTCTTGTTCATTTAGATTGGCAGGAGAAAATATCTGTGAAACTGGTTTCTCGGCCTAATGACTCTTGCTTATTTGGTATGAGTACTCATGAGTTTTGTTAATTCTGTTTTTCTGTGACTCTATTTGGCATCTCTCCTTTCAGCTTGTTATGTGTCCTAAGAGCTTGGCCTTAAGACCAGTGAGAATATTTTCTCTCTGGTCTCGACCACTTAGAAGGTGTACTTACCAAGAGGCATCTGGTGGCCGGTCTGATAGACTGGGGTTCCAAGCCTTGGGTAAGCCATACAAAGCTTATTGGTCCTCATTGTCCAGCTGTGCCCACTCTCAGGAGTGATTATCATCTCAGTCATTGTTGCTTGTTAGTAATGGCAAAATCCTATCCCTGTAGTGCCTGCCTAATGCCATGAATTAGCATGTTTATGGCTGGAGGCATCTCAAATGCATAAAAGAAAATACGAGACTGCTTTTTGTCTTCTCTGAGAGCATTTGAAATCTTACTCCCTAGTACCTGTCATCATTTTAGGTCAGATAAACTCTTCTTAAAATTCCCTACAGATTTGGACACTCCTTACATCAACAGTTGCAAAATTTATCAGAAAGAAAAATTACTTACAATAATTTCATCATACCAAGTTATCGAAACTTTATTGTTAGAAGCAAGTAAATTGAATACAGGTAAGTGGAATAAAAGTATTTTTACATTAACTCTTTAACAATAATTATATTGTATGTATACTTAAAAATGTTTTAAAATTTTGCTTGCTAAATTAAATGATGGGTGTTCACTGACCCTCTAGACCAGGGGTCGGCAAACTGCCACATGCAGCTCTTTGGGTACACAATGTGGCTCTGAAGTAAAAATGAAAATACAACTACCATAGTTTCACTTATAAAATTTTTAAAAGATATTGCTCACATAATGGTGATTATGTAAAAATATTTTTATGGCTCTTGAATAAATTTTAAATTGTTGTGAGGGACAGGATTGTCTCTTCCATCTCAAAAAGTTTGCCGACCCCTGGTCTAGACCATCTCTGACAATATAATGAAACATTAATTACTGAACATTAGTTTCTCTATAAGAAACAAAAAGTAGAAAAACCTAAGATTTCTGGGTTCATTAGTAAACATGTGCCACATTTTAAAAAATTCTATTGGGTTGTCGGAAAAGTCATGATGTATTTTTTCTATGTTTTTCATTGCAAAAATGCGTCCTGACTTTTTTGACAACCCAATAAATACTGGTGTAATACTGACAAAAATAATTTCTAGTGAAAACTGAGAAAGCTAAGTTTGTTTAAGGCTATTAATTCTTATATAATTAAAGCTACAAAAACTAATAGGAAAATAACTGTGTATACAAGTCAAGTAGGCTTTGACCTAAAAGAAGAAAGGTGTGCGATATACAGATGTATTTTTGATGAAAAGGAAATTAACTTTGTGCTAGAGTTAGGCTGGTTGTCTCAGAATGGGAAAGAAGAAAAACAGGACAAAAATCTGAATGTAAGAAGGAAAGGTGTAGAAGGTTTGTACAAAAGGAATCTTGTGAAAGGAAATTTTATGTGTGGTCCAAGCTAAATAAGATGAAAACAAATTCAATCAAATAAGTGAACTTACGGTAACTTTCAAAAGTAAGCTGGTCCAAAATTTGAGTTTGGTTTCTCCTTCTGCTAAAAAGGACTATTGGTCTGCTACTGATAGTGTGAAATAGTTTTAAGTTTTATGCTGTCTTAAGTCCTTGGTTATCTAAGAAAAGGGAACCTTCTCTGTAGGAAGAATTAACAATTATGCAAACTTATGTATGTCTTTGAAGTCTTGTCACTTTGGTTAAATGGTTAAGTATTGCTTCCTAAAGACTTATGATCCTATTTAGTTAAATGCCCAAAACTTTTGATATATTTTCACAAAATTCCCAAAGTTTAAGTTACTGAGTCTTGACCCAGAAGAGCATCTGATACACCTCAAAA